ACCTATTTATTTTAATAAATACCATTAACCCACACTTTTGGTCTAATTACACGACGAAGTCACGAACAGATAGTTATTAATATAAGTAATACTCATTAATAGTGTATAAATTTTAACGCAAAATAGCATAATGATACATGAAAATTATAATATTCGTAATTTTCGATGCATTACAGATAATCTCGTAGCATTATACTTGATTTTATCGCTTCAATAGCTCTTTAAACTGCATTAACACGTTTGTTTTCATTATCACTTTAATATCTATACTATCTATATTAATATCATGAAGCCGAAGAGTTTGACTATTAGGTTGAAAAATAATGATAAAGCCACTTTAATTCCATACTATCAAAAGTACAAATCAAATGGGTATTAGTTTTTTACACTGAGTAAGTACAAAACTTAAGTCAAACACGTGAGTCATGGTTATTTCATTAATTCGTATTCTGCAGTATGGTCCACACTTTCCATTTCTCATTCTGTTTTTAAGGATCTGTTCATTGCTTCCTCCTTCTATTTCTCCTTACGACCTTTACTGATGTCGTCAGCCCAGATACGACGGTCCTGTCTTAAAAAGACCTAAAACATTTGCTACAGCAAATAATACGTAAGATACATATTAAAATTGAGTCACTTTCAAATTTGCTATTTTGTTCTAAAATAATACGAGGGTTTTTTCTATAAATATGATATTAATCATCCAAATAAACATATTAACGCATATTTAATTTTTTTACAGCATAAATGCCAAATACTAATTATAATAGCCAATACTAATTATAATAGCCAAATAGGGTTGCCTGGAAGGAATCGCTTGTTAGCGATAAGGCCGCCCGTTGCCTTATAACTTTTGTAACCTATTTTTTATTTTTGTTATGTGTATGTTTTTGAATAAGGTAATAAAGTATAAATAAATAAATAAATAAATAAATAAATATAATAGTTCATTAAAACGTAAACATAACAATCAAATATACGGTTTTTTACGAATTTAAAAGATTGGTACGTCTGTAGATCATAAAAACCTATACGATTCTAACAAATCGCAATGCTGCGAAGAAATGCTGCCAGTGTTAAAGGTATGCAAGGAATTTCTAAGGAGCTGGGACGGTACCCATCATCACCAAAGCTAGAAGGAAAACTCATGCCTCGGTTGGATGCTAACCACGCGTTTCTCGCATCCGCAATCTCGTAGTTTGTAGAATTAGATCTAAGGACCTACCAGATTGCTAGATTTGTGAGCAGATGACAACTAAATAAATACTTTTTAGCCATGTATGTTTAGGTAGCATTCTAAAGTTTCAAATTTGTATTTAAACGCAAAGTTACATCATAATCGAAGCTAAAGATAACGTAGTAAACAGTTTTATTATTTGAACAGATTTGGTGTTTATGGTAAAGAGTTATTATATTTGAGATTTTAAAAATATATGATTATCCGTACAATTCAAATGTCTATTTTCACTTACAAGGGAATTGGTATAATGCTCTTGCGCCTAAATATAATTTTGTTATTAAATTTTGGGGTCCTAGTGCTTTAAGGTTTTTTAAAGAAATTTCAAAAGGTTAGTCGACATCACAGGAGACCGAAGATCTGGCAGCTACCTCGGACAAAGAATTAGTCTAGCAATTCAAAGGGGGAACGCTGCCAGTATCTTCGGAACCTTGCCTAAAGGGACTCCTTTTAATGATATATTTTAGTTTATGTTTAGTTTATGTTAAGTTTAGTTATTTATTTCAATGTATATTATTTTATTATTAGTTTTATAGTTTTCCTATATTACAAATTAAATTTTCTTTATTAACTTTCATAAGTGTACATTGTCTTACCAATATGAATAAATGATTTTCGACTTTGAAAAAAAAAAATTAACAATCACGAGACACCTTTAAAAACAATCTCTCACATAACAAATGGTGTTTTTTAAAAGTTCCAAATTTGTATTTATTATTTGAACAGATTTGATGTTTATGGTAAAGAAGAGTTAGTATATTTGAGATTTTAAAAATATATGATTATGTGTACAATTTCAAATTTCTATTTTCACTTGCGAAGGAATTGGTACAATGCTCTTGCGCCTAAATATAATTTTGTTATTAGAGACATAATTAACAACCACGAGACACCTTTAAAAACAATCTCTCACATAACAAATGGTGTTTTTTAAAAGTTCCAAATTTGTATTTAAATGCAAAGTTACATCATAACTGCAGCTAAAGACAGTACATAGATTAATTATTTGAACAGATTTGGTGTTTATGGTAAAGAAGAGTTAGTATATTTGAGATTTTAAAAATATATGATTATCCGTACAATTCAAATGTCTATTTTCACTTACAAGGGAATTGGTATAATGCTCTTGCGCCTAAATATAATTTTGTTATTAGAGACATAATTAACAATCACGAGACACCTTTAAAAACAATCTCTCACATAACAAATGGTGTTTTTCAAAGATTATCACATGAAAATGACTAATGACAGAATTTGTTCCTTTCAAATTGTTAATGTGCACTCCTAACTAATTTACACTATGTTTGTTTAACTATTGACATATTTAACACTTCACTTAGGATTACTGCCTCAAGCGAATTTACACTTTATTTCGTTTAAATACAGCTTGTGCTGTAGGATGTAATTTTAAATATATTTGTCTTTCGATAGATCAACTGGGGTTATGTTGTCATTTTGGCTTCGTTTCTGACAGACGATTTAATTTTTCATTCTGATGAGATGTAAAATAAAAATATTAAAAGTAATTTTTTTTTGTGTACATCAAAATTATTCAAATGTATATTCAAAAAATGTTTGTTTTCTGTTCATATTTGAGATATACTTGATTTGAAGTGAAGTGTAAGTTTTCGTTGTTTTATTCTATTTTTTTAAATAATATATTTAGTTTATGAAGTTGTACTTCTTTAGGCGCGTTATGAAAAATTGATGAGAGTGAAATTTTACGATGCGCGCGCACCGTGACACAAAATTAACAGAATGAAGTTGCCCACGGAAGATGCTACGGCATTGGACATAATTTAAAAACAACATTCGAATAATAATAGAATTTATGTTACGCTTATTGTAAGAGAATAATAATAAATATTTATTTATTTAATTTTTCAAATGTAAACTGAACTTTCTTGACTATAATGACTCCTTGTCCAGTCTTTGATTATTTAATTGTAATTAATTATTTGCATGCAATCAAAAACTATTTTTAATAATGCCAAAGAAGTATAACTTCTTACGCGCGTACATAAGTACACGCACCCTTTTTTTCTATGCTTGTTTTTGTGTATATTTTGTTATTGTTGTGGTTGTTTGACCTTAATTGTAGTCATTTAATTTGTGTATTATCAAGTATCTGTTTGTTTTTATTCAATTATAAAACCACCAACTTGTGTACACATTTTAAAAGTAACAAATTACCACAATATTTCCTTTTTCCTCCAGTAAAAAAATCAGCTTTAAGCAACTGCACCGGTCACTGACCCCTTATTTACAACGCTTTATTCAAAAATTTCGCGGCAAACTAAAGAATGTACAACTGTATTGTAAACGAAATATATCACGATGTTGCGACAAAATGGAAATGTGCTGTACGGAAACTCATTTGAATGCCGTGTGCTAAGACATGCCTATAGGTACTTACTTGAGAGGAATGTCAGGCTAGCTTGGATCTTTATCGCTTGGATATTCACGTCGTTCTGCCGTTTACATATACTTAGATTAAGTTCAGTGACCCGGGAAACTTGATTCTAATCGGTTTTAAATTTGGAACCATTTAAATAAAATAATTTATCAACTAATGTGTCGTCGCGTCTTCTAATTAGAGGGTTTACTAGTATTTGGCTAAACTATGGTCTAGCAACAATAGTTGTAATTTAAAATAATCTCTATGGATTTATTAGTGAGTAGTAGACAATCTGCAAACTAAAAATGCTTTGAAATAATTATAAGTAGAATAGAAATATATTGTAAATTGCATGAATATGTAACAATAAAATTATTCGGGTCAAATAAAACTTTGAAGCATTTATTAATTACAAAAAAGTACAAAATTTGTTTAAATCATAGCAATAAATAGACAGACTTTCTACGTCCTTTTAATTGTATTTATATAAATAAAAATAAGATAAATTATAAACAGTTTCAGGTATATTGTTTTATTAAAACTTTGATTTTAAAAAAGAACTTTTACAATCGGTATGCAACAACAAGTTGACAAAATTATTTTTATTTGCTCGTAGCACTTCTACGATTGTAGAACCTTCGAGGGGCATTAAAATTAATAATTTTTATTAGCAAGCTACGTATTACAATGTAGCGGGTAGTAACAACTGTGAAACAATTTTATGATATATACTATACTTTCTGATTTACGTACAAAGTTTTTTGAAGTCCTGAAAAATAACTATCCTCATACAACGTGTTATAAAATATGCAAGAATGCTCTAACTTGTGAGGTAAAGATAAAATGTTAAAAAGCACCCAACTGACTCCACTTTTCAGAACAAACTGTATAATAAAAGTTAGCAAGTGATTTTCATCTCCATAAGAGAATACGTTAACTTTAGGAGCATGTGGTGTCCTAGAAACTATTTTGTAAGGCTTTTATCTCATTTTCTCGTGAAGTGAAAAGTTAACTAAAGTTTCTAAACAACAGGTGCTTCGGATGTCAAGATATTAGTCCCTTTTTTTAAACAGTCTCCCAAAAAGCATTTCCATATTCAAAGGGCTATATTTCTTCACTTGCAAAGTGTTGTAATGCGAGCAACCGACCAACTTTTCTCCCGCATTTCATAAATGTGTTGAAATAAATTTTATATTTACGAAGTGGTTCAGAAACCTTAAATAAACTTTAACCAGTATCCATTAATTTATTTTTGAATGACATAGCGTAGTGAAATTTGTGAAGATATTTGGAAACTTTTAACTCATTGAAACTTTATCTCATTTTGTTTATGATACGCGCTCGATATTACCGCTCGAGAATAATTCAGTAGCGTATGCACCCTCTGTATTGCCTATGGGATGAAGTTTCTTCAGACGCCGAACGGATAGCCGCGGGGCGTCGGGCATCGTAGGGCGGAGCTACGTAGCGCCGTTCAGTCGGTGGGCAACCGTCACACGCGCCGCTCGCCCATCGTAACCGCGAAATCCGCTCTAATGCCACGCGACTCGCGATGTTACGGCCAACCTGTGAATATTTATGACGCGAGCCATTACGCCTCATTATAAATGGCACTGCAGAAGTCGATGCCTCGGTTTACGTATACTTTCATAAAATGCCAATAATAAAAACTATTGTGAAAAAACTTGAACGTCGAATTTTTAATCACATTATAGTGTATGTGCTGTTGTATTACTATGCCATCGAGAGGAGCAACGCATCTGAAATGCCACACGAGTGCGCTTACCGCAGCTCCGAAACGGAAACGTCGGAAAATGCGGTTTTGTTCTGCAAAATTCGAACTATAAGCAGCCTGGATAATTTACTACAAAACATCAGCCGGACATATCTCGACGATGTAACGTCCTTACATGTCCAGTGCAGTGAAATACTATTCTTTGAGAGCACACTCGCAGCGCACACGGACAAGGCGTCTGGGAAAAATTCAAATCTTGGAAAGCTTCGAAACCTTTTTGTAGATAAGTGTAAGATACGTCAGATTCCGGCGCGGGCTTTCGATAATTTCAAGGATCTGAAACGGCTACACGTGACAACACAGAACAGTGAATGGTCTGCGATGACTATGGAGTTACATGAACAGGCATTCATTGGTTTAAGTGAGTTAATTGAATTAGATTTAAGTGACAATAACATTTGGTGCACAAAACCTGATACATTCTGTTCCTTATACAGTTTAAAAACATTAAATTTTAGTAATAATCACATTCAAAATATTAAAACTCTCGGCTTTTCAGACTCCTTACGTGAACTAAATTTAAGTGTAAAAAGTTGTAATTTAGTTTTAGAAACGCTGGATATGTCTTTTAATGATTTGATTGTTGTACCAGATTATAGCTTATCAAAGCTGAGATCTTTATCAAAATTGTTTCTTCAAAATAATGCTATATCTTCTATAGACGGCGGTGCACTTCAAGGTCTTATTAATTTAGAAGTAATCAATTTATCCAATAACTTTCTTAATATAATTCCCTTGGACATTTTTCTAGACACAAAGTTTTTAAAAGAGATTAATTTGAGTAACAACACTATAAATTCCTTACAACCGGGTTTGTTTGGGGGAATGGAACAGCTCCAAACATTAGATTTGTCTCGTAACGATTTAACTAGTCAGTGGATCAGTAAGGGTATATTTGTAGGGTTATTACGTATGGTTATATTAAATATATCATATAATAGGTTGACACGAGTAGATCGTTATACGTTTCAGGATTTGTATAGTTTACAGAAATTGAATTTGGAACATAATGAGATAATATCCATCGACGAGCACGCTTTTGAAGAGCTGCGTAATTTGCATTCCCTCACATTGTCACACAATAAACTCATTCACATACACACACATTTATTTACAGATTTACATGTATTACACGAAATATTTTTGGATAATAACAGAATTAGACATATTGATGAGAATGCGTTCGACAATATAACAACTATAGAAGATTTGGGCTTAAACGATAACATGCTATCATCAATTCCAACTTCGATTCGTAAACTTCGGTCTTTGAGGTCTTTAGATATTGGCAATAACAATATAACACATTTGAACAGAGAGAACTTTCACGGGCTGACAGAACTTTTTGGCTTACGTCTTGTTGATAATAAAGTGACGAGTCTAAATGAAAATACTTTTGAACATTTGCCGCAGCTACAGGTACTTAATTTAGCCTCAAACAAAATCAAGTACGTGGCTCAAGGCTGTTTTCGTAATAACGTCAACTTAAAATTATTGCGCATGGACGGCAACGACATTTCCGAGATAGATGGAATTTTTAATACATTAAATAGCTTGGTGTGGCTCAATATTTCAGCGAATAAAATATCTTCCTTTGAGTTTTCAACTTTTCCAAATACTCTTGAATGGTTAGACCTACACATGAATACTATAACTGATTTCGTAAACAATGATATGTTCTCTACTACGAATATAAAATTGTTAGATTTAAGTTACAATAATATAAGCCAAATAACGTCTACATCAATACCAAAAACCGTGGAAAAACTTTACTTGAACGATAATAATATTCATCACATTGAAATAGGTTCCTTTTCAAAGCTACAAAAACTGTCAACAGTGACATTAAATAACAACAAACTTGTACAATTCGACATGAACGCTTTCAGGTTAGATCAAATAGATGAAGATAGTGACTTGCCCGAGTTCTTTATAAGCGGAAACCCATTTGTTTGTGACTGTTCAATGGAATGGATTCAGCGCATCAATTATTTGAGTCACAATCGACAATACCCACGTGTGTTGGATCTTGATAAAGCCTTTTGTTCATTGGTACATTCGCGAGCAAAAGAAAAAAAGGTGATTATTGATATGTCACCATCGGACTTTCTCTGTCCGTATGAAAGTCATTGTTTTGCCCTATGCCATTGTTGTGACTTTGTAGCTTGTGATTGTGAAATGATTTGTCCAAACAACTGTAAATGCTATCACGACATCACGTGGAATGCTAACGTGGTCGATTGCTCTAATGCTGGGTACACTCAAGTACCGGACAGAATACCAATGGATGCCACAGAAATATATCTTGATGGCAATAATATACATAATTTGAGAAACCACGCTTTTATCGGTAAAAAGAAACTTCAAGTTTTATATTTAAATAACACCGAGTTAAAAGATGTAAATAACCAAACATTTAAAGGTATAGACTCCTTAAGAGTTTTGCATTTAGAGAACAATAAATTAGTAGAGTTAAAAGGGGACGAGTTTGTGCATTTAAATAATTTAAATGAGCTGTATTTGGACCACAACGCTATCGAGCACGTAGCCAGTAATACATTTTCTTCGTTAAAATCTCTGTCGGTACTTAAAATTGATGATAATAAACTAATTAACTTTTTCCCTTGGAAGTTATTAGCTTCGTCGTCTAAAGGAATTGCTCACGTTTCTATCGAAGGTAACCGTTATTCATGTGATTGCAAAAGTATCGCTGAGTTGGACTCATGGCTACGAAAGGACCCTGGAGATCCTGAAAAAATGTTGTGTACAGATAGCAAAGGCCAACCCACAAAGATAACAATCGCCTCAGTTCTAAGCCATTGTAAGGAATATATGGGTTCGTTAGGTGACTCTAGTATTTTAAAGGATGAAATAGTCTCAAAATCCATATTCCTCCCTGATAGTTATTTCGCCATTGCCAGCGGAATAATAATTGTAATTGTGTTAATTTCGTTAATTGGCGCAATTTTTTACGCATTTAGATACGACGTAAGTGATTGGCTATACACTAATTATGGCGTGCCACTTTTCAAGGAGCAGACGTGCCCTAATGTCGAACATATATTAGAAGGAAACTCCCATATGTACGAATATTATGTGATATGTAATACCAAAGATACTAGTTTTGTACACAATAACATTATGGCGGAAATAGAATTTAGAAAGATGTCAGCCAAAAAACTGTTAATGAATGAGTCCACGTTGAACATTTTGACCTTAGATAGTTTCTCTAAATGCACAAAATTATCTAAACGCCTCCTAATCGTTTTGACTACACATTTCATTTGCAACGATCTATGTGATATTCATTTCAAAAATATGTTCTATAGTTACTTAAAATCACTGAACCGAAGCGAAATAAACAAAATTATATTTATAAAAATAGTTGATAACAATCAAATCAACGACGAGTTGGGTTTTGTGTTGGATAAATTTAAGAATATATCGTGGAGCGATCCACGTTTTTGGGATAAATTTGTGGCTTTACTCAATTCAACTGATACTATTATAACCGTAAAAGGTTCCGAGAAAAGCGTATTTAAGAAGTCATTACGGAAGACCCCAACGTTGAGATACACTACAATGCCCGTCTCAAACGATAGTTGCTCAAAGCAGAATTTCACGAATTCTTTACAATTCTCTAAGAGGCATGATGACTCCTCCTCACATAATGAAAGTTCTCCTTCATCTGACATGTACGGGGAAGGGAACAATTCGAACAATAGTTACATGTCGATCGACAGGACATGTTCTCGGTTTAATTATGACCTTAGGAAATCCCCTAGTAGCGGTCATGTCTATTCAAGAGTGGAGGATATTTCCCCCACCATACCCCGCTCAATTACAGGCAATTCAGCAAAAGGCCGCACTTACTTCGTTTGACTTACTTTTGTCTCGCACCTTTTCATATACATTACTGTACATAGCCCGCTTGAAACACTTTTGTCAATTTATTATACGTAATAATATGTGCAGTGAAATTATATTAAGAAATACATTGTAAACAATCCATAAAGTAATAAGTCTGATAAGAGTTTTAGTACTGATTGTATCGAAAGGAATGTCTATGGTGAAAAACACGATAATTTATCAAACGCATATTTGATATCTAGTCGAAGTAAATAGTAACATATTTATTCGCTTGTTATGTAAACTCACTGTAAAATAACACCAAATTATCGATGATTAAGCTTGTATTAATTTTATTAGTAATTACCCTAATTTATATATTTTGTATCGACTTGTATTGATCAACATTATAACGAAAATAACATTGGGCATTGCAGTGCTCTCGCTAAGCGGCATTACATAGAATATTTATTTTAATTAATAATTCTACTATATAAGTTGAATATTTAGATGTATAATTGTGAGATTATGTTTTTACAAGTCATGTTGTTTGTATGAAAAAATATAAAATAACAAATAAAAAACATATAATTTTGTTACTTTCGTTTCTGAGCCATAGTTTTTATTGCATTTATACTATTTTTAATATGAATTCTTTATCCGGAATTGATTTTTTTTGTAAAATGTACATACCTTAGTTTCTTATATATTAAACAAGTTTTGAGCAGATATTATTTTTGTAAACTAATATTAACTTGTTCAATCCATTCAAATAATTACCTTCATACGAATAAAAGCCTTTTGAAGAGAGATGACGATGAAGCAAATAGCTAAGCCCAATTTTTAAAAGTAAAGATTTGTTTTTTTGCGAAAGTAATTCTGTTCAAAGCTCATATATTATATAAATCAACATTTACTAAGCTATTATAAAGTATATTTAATGAATGGTGTATATAAAATTTGCAATGTTATTGTTTATATTGATGGTCGCTTATTTTAATATTACTAAGCTAAATCGTGATATTAGATTTAATAATTATAAATTTGAAAATAATTATGTAATTTTTCGATTGTAATTATTAGTCTTTAATGAAATTATTGTTTTGTAAAAAATGTACAAAGGTATCTTGAAACATAATAAAATTATACTGACGTTTTTATACTCAAAAAGTCTTTTATTATATCACCTAGAACATCAGCCTTTCTGCCATACTTGGTCGTTTATTAAAAGCTAAAGCAAGTTTATTAAAGATGATATTAAATCTGAAGCTAAATAAGTCTTTAACTGCCCGAATAATCAAATGCAACAGTTCTGCGTTGAGACACATAAATTTTGTCATTTGATAATTAATAAACCTAAATTGTCAATTTGTGGCGGACATTATAACTAATAAATCACAGCAGAGTATGACATACAGAAAATAGTAGGGCAATTTGGTCACGAAAACAGTAGAACAAAAAAATTGAAAACGCTAGAAGAACTATGGTGCAAAGCAATAAGAACCGGTGTCGCACAGCCTAGATTTTCAAATTGTACATAAAGCTAATAAAAATGACAGTTTGACTAGGAAAAACGATTTTGCACTTTAGTTATAGTAAATTAGACTTAAAGGAGTATGTATAGGGGGTAATTTTGAAATACGATAAAAAAATTATTGTGAAATTAATAGTTAGTAATCAATAAACAAGTACCACGTACATTGCACGTACAGGTGTAGTTATCGATAGTAACTTGAATTTTAATTCTCACGTGGATCTTCTCTCATGCAGAACTCGTTAACTCATTTATATCTTTAAAACTTTAAGACTTATAGCAGACAAAAAAATTATTAACGTAGTTTATCAGGCTTTATGTCAGTCAATTTTAGGCTAATGTATCACTGTTTGGGGAGGTACTTTCAAAACCAATCTCCTAAATCTTGAAAGAGCCCAACGAGCAGTGTTAAAAGTAAGTCACTCCTTACCGCTTCTTTTTCCCACCAAAGAGCTTTATGCCCTAGCCGATGTATTAACAATTCGTCAATTATTTATTCTCAACACAGTTTTAAAACAACATTATAAAACTAGTTACGACCCCGAATTAAATATAAACAAGCGGATTAAACATAAAGTTTGCTGTTGTATTACACAATGGACAACTTCTTTCTCGCAAAGATTATTTGGTTTCCTAGGCTGTTCCTTGTATAATAAATTAAATGAAAAAATTAACATTTACCTACTATCTAAATATGAATGTAAAAAGATGGTTACTACTTGGCTGAAGACGTTGAGTTATGATGAAACAGAAGATTTAATAACTGTTATTCTGTAACACACCCACTCCCCCACACATATACACACACCCACGCACACACACATACACACACACACACACACAAACACACATCAAATTTATTTTTACGACTCCGTTTGCAATGTTTTCTATTAGCACTTAATACTTATTTTCTTCTATTGTATCTAATGACAATGACCTGATTGTACGTGTTCCGGTCCGGTGGTGGAGAGGCTGGCTATCTGTCACTCAGGTCTCCTGTTACAGAGACCAGTCTCTCACATACACTTCCTAATGTTATCATCTTAGTTTAATCATAATAACCTTGTATGTATATGTGAGAGAAGAAATAAAGATTATTATTATTATTATTGCAAATAAGGGTTTTTGGTTATATTCTTTACATTAGTCCATATCTTTGTACGGGAAACAGACAGAATATAATGTAGATAAGTCATATTTCGGGTAGAGTAATTTTTTTGAAATTATTTCTGTCATTGTTTTTAAATCAACCTTAATATAGTGAAACTTTACTTCGTACAACCTACAACTCACTTGCTAATAAGAAGACACCTGTAACTAACAAGACAACCTTTGAATAACTTATGTGTTAATTTTTATGGTTATAAAGGTGAACAAATTTTTCAATAAAATAAATAAATAAATCAGCACATCAATTGCACTATAACTTTTTTAGATCTGAGCCTCAGATTTCTGTATGTATCATGATCATTTGTCTATCTAATGGACAAGTAGGTAGGTAGGACAAACAGCCATTTGTGACTGACATACGCCGTTGAATTTTTGGCTCTAAGGCAAGCCGGTTTCCTCAGAATGTTTTCCTTCACCGTTCGAGCGAATGCTAAATGAGCACATAAAACGAATGTCCAGTGGTGCACAGCCGGGGATCGAACCTACGACCTCAGGGATGAGCGTTGCACGCTGAAGCCACTAGGCCAACACTGCTCGTTCTTCAATAAGATGTATATATTTAAACCATCTTTTAAAGTATAAGTTCTCATTGATATCTAGTTAGTATGACACATAAAAAGTCTTATTGGAGGACCTGGTTTAATTAATCTACACTAAAATTGAATAAAGTTTATAAGTGAATAAACAAAAAGTTAATTTTTGCGGTTTAGTATATTTTTAATACACATTATTAAATGGCAAAAACAAACATACCAATTATCTTTATTACTTTTGCGCCATTTGTGTTAAATAATATTTTATCATATACATTAACCACCAAAGAAACAGTCTAATTCTCTTTTCCAAATAAAGTCTCATCGTCTATTTGATCAAATAGTGTTTTTTTTAAACTCTGCAATAGTACTAATTGAAGTTATAAATATAAAGGTATACTGTTATATTTATTCTTTCATTATTTATAATTTAGTAGCAACATTTTTTTATACTTATTTATACCAATGATAAACCAAATAAAAGGTCATATAATAGATAAATACGCTATATGCTAGATTAATAGTTAATAATTATAAAAAAAATTGTTAAATTACTGTAAAAAAAATATTTGATCAGTTCTTATCGGATAAGTAAAATAACTTTAAATATTTTCTAGTTAGACCATTCAGTAGAATATAATTAATTCTTATAGGTTGAAGATAATCTAGCTTATATTATAGAATTTATAAAATAATTAGTAATTCCAGTCGAACTTCAAAATTACAAGTAAAGATCTCAATGATATTATTATGTTCCCATTCGTCTAGGGTTATTATAAGAATGTTAATTTTGTTAGGATAAACAGATCCAATTTAGGTTGTATTATTGATGCCTTTAAATCTACATATAATATGAGATTGACATACGTCATACTTGATTTTCATTTGTTTTTCCTTATGTCCACAACCAGTCCGTTATAGGCTCTATTCAAATGCCGACTCACGTGTAAAAGCCGGAAAAACAGGACACCGTGTCTATTACACGGAAGCCTTGTTCTACCAAACTTAAAGTATAAGGTTTTCAATTCGTCAGAATCTTTGTTTGAGACGAAAGCGCTGGTTTCCGGTAGAAATCGAAGGTTACCAAAGTTTTTAAGCACGATTTGGGTATGTTCCATAGTGCTTTTAAAAAGCTTTTGTTTAAACCGTTGTCCTTTACGTACAGAATCTCAACTCATTCTTGGCTGATAAAATAGCTTGCTTTTTTATTAAAGTATTATTATTTTTTATTTTTTTTATATACATGTGTCTTTACTAAGACATCATGGAACATTACAATCTAGCCTAACTTCAGACTAATAAGTAATTTAAGTTACTAATAAGGATTTTTACATAAGAAAGTGTCCAATAACACTACTTACAGTCTCTATTAAGGGAAGACAGTCTTTTCTTGTGTTCTATTTTTTTTGTTTCACTCACTGTGTATTTAGTACTGACGTGCACTAACACTTATTCACTAGTTCAAATGGTTTTGTCTTTTAAGTATTCTCATTAGGCCAGTGGTGTCAAGGAGTTGAATAGCCTCGACATTCACGTGATGGTGGAGCCTATGTTCGTGGGCTCCAGCGGTCTTTTTTATTATTGTGGCGGCGATTATGATATATAGAGTCAACTTATAGTTAGAATTTAATGTGCTGTATAGATATAACAGAGCAGTGTTTGCCTAGTGGCTTCAGCGTGCGACTCTTATCCCTGAGGTCGTAGGTTCGATCCCCGGCTCCAATGGACTTTCTTTCCATGTGTGCATTTAAAAGTCGCTAAGACCCAAAAAGTCGACGGCGTGAGTGACAGGCACA